GTGTATGTGATTTTAACCTAATCATTGTAGTACACATTGCTAGTGTCTCTAAAATAGTATATAAACGTTTGTATCCCCCAATAAGATTGGATTCTGATCACCGAGTCAGTCTCCCCATCTCTCTTCATTGATGACATCGTGGCTTTAATCCTTAGAAAGTTACAGGTCTTATCTGAGTTATCCTCTATACTCTCTTGGCAGTCAGACAGCAGCCTACAGTGAATTGCAAGGAATTCCCAGAAAGCTGAAGTGAGATGATTTCTACCCAGGCTGACATGTGCCTCAGGGATCTGGGATGCTCATCCTGGAAACTGCTGGCCCTGGGACCAGAACTGTCACCTCTCATCCTGCTGAGACTGTGTTTGTGTCCCCAGCTATGGAATCTCACATCCCCTCACCAGCCCAATGCATCCAAGGGCAAACACTTCATGATCCAGGAGCTGATGAGGCTCCAGGAGAGGTGGAGAGGGACTTTGGACAAGGGCATGGAGTGACAGGACAAGGGGCAATGGCTTCCCACTGACAGAGGGTGGGGTCAGGTTGGATATTGGGAAGAAATCCTTCCCTGTGAGGGTGCTGAGGCCCTGGCACAGGTTGCCCAGAGAGGCTATGGCTGTCCCTGGATCTCTGACAGTCGACAAGGCCAGGCTGGATGGGATTTGGAGCAATCTGGGATAGTGGAAAGTATCCCTGCTGGCAGAACCACAGTCTGGGATCAGACAACCACCAAAATATCCCCAAGAGTTCCCAGGACTGAGGAGGAACAGGAGCAGCTCTGGTGAAGGGCTGGCAGGGGGTGCACAGCACCCTGCTCCCTGACAGTTTTCATTGCATTATGTCCTGGGGTGACGTTATGATACTTATATCCCCATTCATCTGTTCTGTGCCTTTAAGACCGGCTCTGAAGAGTGGAAGTTTTGTTTGGATTTCTCTTATCAGGGACACAGAGAGACCAGTACATCGGCCTGTTTTTCACTTCTTGCTTCAGCTTGCTGCTTTCCTTGCTCCCTTTTCTGCTCTTGCTTCTGCTCTGCTTTCGCCTCTGCTTATTAGCTAGTTCTAGCTAAAGAGTCCATATTACTTCCTGGTCTGCATCTCCTCTCCTGTTTCTGTGACCATCTCGAACCTGCTCCGGACTGGGACCCGGGAAGACCGAAGGTTTGGCTGCAGCAGCTGGCCAAGCGCAGGAGGGACTGAGAACAGAGCAACCACCCCCGAAAGAGACTTTCTGATTTTGTCATCTTTCTCAGAGCGGTGTCATCGGGTATTGTTCATTTTGTGTGCT